ACCCCTGAGGGACTCCACTAGACACAGGCCTTCAGCTAGACTCTGCTCCATTGACCACAACTCTCTGGCTTCTTCCCACCAGCCAGTTAACAGTCCATCTCACTACCTGATCATCCAGTCCACACTTCCTCAATTTAGCAGCGAGGATGCTATGGGAGACTGTGTCAAATACCTTACTGAAATCAAGATAGACCAAATCCTTTAAAGCTCACAACAGCTCAGGGAAATAACATAATGTATTGTTCTAAACAACTCTCACTCAGTTCTCATACCTCAATTCAAATTTGGCTTGGCTCGCCATTACTTTAGCAGTAATGTCTCATGTTTATGCAGTAAGGATGCTGTGAAAGCAGTAGCTCAGGACAGGAATAGCAAGGGTTTCTCAAGTCAGCAAGGAAGTTTCAGAGCACAGCAGCAGAGAGGCAAGAACACAGTTTATGATTCGGCCTTTGTTTAGGAAGCGCTCTTAACCTGTGAAATCTGGATGAACAGGCAGGCAATCCCGTCACCTCTCTCTCCTTGTTTTTTTAAATTTTAAATTACCACTAAAACCAAAAGGAAAATTACTACCAAAACTGTACGGAAATAACAGTAAGCCACAAGGAAACAAATTAAAAAAACAAGTAGATTCTCAGTTTATCTTGTGCCCTGCAACAAGGGGCATATATTTTAAAGGCTATGATGTGAATTTATTTTTCTTTTTGCATACTTTGCAATTGGTAAAAGAGCTTAGTTTACAGGTGTACTTCAGGCATCATTACATTCACGTATAGTGAATTTTCTCCTCCTCTATTCATACTCACTCTCACAAGCACCTGCATGACTTCATATCCACAAGAGTATGTCAAATGAAAGTCTAAAATTCTGGCAGCCCTCACCTAGCCTTAAAATTTCCCCTCAAAAATATGAGGTGGGTGGATATGATTTAAAAATTCCATTATTTCAGTATTTTTCCTAGTGTATCTTACTTTCAGGTGTGGCCTCACCAAGATTTTTTTTTTCCTTATTTTTATCTCATAGCTGACATTTTACAAGTTATTTCAGAATTGCTGAACCATGAAACTATTTTTATTGTCAAAATCCTGAATGGTTAAATAATGACCAGCTTTCACAGTTTGCCTCTTATTTATTTTATAATCTAGTTGAGCTACTAAATTTAGCTGTTAACTAATAGACTGTCTGTTCTGGGAAATAACTTATTTTCCACCCCTGCACACAAGGTTTATGAAAGTCTGACTGTAAATATATGAATATAAACATATCGCTGCTTGTTGTAATCATGTACATTTTTACTTGAACCTCCATGTGGATTTGGAATATGTTTATGAATAGAGCTTGTTTTCATGTAAATGGGATCAAGCAGTACCACTGGTTAGCTATTCAGAGAATCAGACAATATTGCCCTTGCTGGAAATACTTCAATAAAAATTTATCCATGTACCTAATATTTGAACTGAGATTTTTTGCTTTCTAGGTCTCTGTTCTAATCCCAGATTTTATTGACTGACAATGAGCTATATGATGGCGTTAAACTAAATGCAATCTATTCTATCTGTTTCTATCACTGCATACTTCAGGTTTCAGCCGAGGAGCTATAAGAAAAGAGTGTGTTTTTTTTTCTTTCCTCTTCAATGGCAGCCCAAAAAATTCAGAGAACAAAAATCCTGCCAGCAGTTCTCAAGCCAATTCTATATCTTGGAAGAGAAATACATGAAAATGAAAAGAAAGTTCAAGCTTGATAAAGCATGGAACATTTTTTCCCCCAGCCTTTTCATGTACCAGAAAACCTAGTGTCCATAACTAAAAGAATAATTTCCAAACGAAACAAACAATAAAGTGATTTTCATGCTTAATAAACTATATATATGAGCACTTCCAATAAGAAAACAGAGACAATTTGTGAATAAAGACACGTACTTTAAACTAGTCTGCACATTTTTATTTATTTTTAAGAAATCTATAAATATTTATACACTTACCTGCATCTTAAGTGCTTCAAAATAAATGTACAAAATGCAGGGGTTGCAAATGCATTATGTATTTTACCTGTCATGTTTGATTCTTTGTTTCCTAAAGCAACTACACTATTTCCAAACAGACTAGGAGGAGTATTAGGTAAGAATATTACTGAAAAAAACAACTTAAGTCTTGCTCCACTCTGCTGTACTCACAGCACAAATAGGATGACATGGTGTGAGTATCAAGAATACAAGAGATGGCACAGCCAGGTTGTTTTGATATTTGTGTGAAGAACAAATTTAACTCTAAATCTCTTGGCAAGACCTTGCTTCACCCACATAATCTGGAGAACATCCATATGTGAGCCTTGTCTAAGCCTCCGAGAAGACTGCTGCCCTCCTGCTCATGTCCGCCAGCACTCTGATCTGACTTTCATACTTAATCTGATCTAATCCTGTCCAGCATTAACTTCATCTGTGCAATGAAACCTGGAGTATCCATTCTAATATTTGGTGAGGAAGGCATTTACTAAATTACTTGCTGAAATCATATGGTGTTGTTTAGCTCCTTATTTTAATCAGATGATGCATCTCTGAGGTACATTATCAGCGATTAGTTAGAAACCCTTCTCTGTCCTTTTTGGGAACAAAGAACTTTTCTGAAATTAAATGCCAAGAGAAATGAAGCACTGTTCCATTCTGTCAACAAATACATATTAGAAAAAGGAAAAAAGATGACTAAACACACTTTCTCCAGAGCTATACAAACCCAGTATCTTTTCTGAAATAAGAAGAGTTTGTTTAAATAGTAAAAATATAAAAGAAAAAAAAATCTTTAGAGGAATATTTTATCAGAAGCCACTTAAAAGGAACATTGTTTAAAAAGACAATAGACAGCTTTGTAATTCCCTTTGCCTTTTTCCTTTAACTATTTCTTAGTAAGGCACAGAAATCTGCTGAACTGAGCTGTCCTAGAAAGTCCCTGTTTTCAAAATTTGGTCTCTCACAACAGTTTTGTGCAACAAAACATGAACAGCATTCTCTGTTTTGGACATTTAAGGGGGCAAGAGGAAATATCCATGAAGGAAAGACAGATTAATTTTAAAATACCTACTCTCCTAAATGAAATTTGCACATCTCTTTTTATACTTTTTCCATTTATATAACACAAATAATTAATAATGTACCATTTTTAAAGTTAGAATGCAGCAAATATAGCACAGCACAATTCTGCAAATCCAGTATCAGAAAAAAGTTGTGTCCATTATAAAATCTATTTGCATAAATTATTAAACAATATACCACATTGTAGTATTCATCTACCTTTCCAAAAATTAAGACCTGTACTCTCATTTTTTTTACTAAGAATTCTCTTACAATTAACATGTGCCTGTGTAAATAATATAAAGCCTATGTCTACAAATATTGCTGTCAAATTGATTTAAGAAACAGAATGTGATGGGGGAAAGAAAGGTTTTGATAATCTTTTCTTCCTCTGAAAGATTTTCTGGGGAGCAAAAAATATATCCCCTTATATCAATAGTCAGATCTCTCCTAAGAAGTAAGCTAATTGAGCTGTTTGTGTTGATAAACTCCCTTTTCTCCAGACTGTTCCTCACTGAGCCATAATTATTTGCAATTTGCCTAAGTCGTCCATTTACTGATACGTCAAGCATGAAACAGAGGCAATTCCAGAAAATGGAAATGCTTCTCAAAATCAATCTTTGGGAAATAATGTGGTAGAAGTTACTGTGTGATAGAAGACTACCTTATAACTGTCACATGGAGATGAATATTAATTTGTTGAGGTTAAGGTGGCTTTGTGCTTCATTTGTTGACTTTCCTTAGCCATCAGCAAGCAGCACAGTACAATTACTCCAGCAAAGCTATTTTTCTAACATGAGTTTTATGATTTTTATGTACTTACCAGTCAGCACACATAACAATGTCAAAATGTCCTTCCAGTTGAGAGACATCTGTCTCATTATCCCATCGTAAAATGCTAGAGGAAAAAAAGATTTAAAAAAAAAAAAAAAACAGAAAAGAAAAAAGGACTTACATTTTTCATCTTGAGATTTTTTAAAGTATTAATATTATTCTTATGTGACACAAGTGTTTTAAGAAGTAGGCACTTGCTACTTTCAAAGATGAATGTAAAAACATTATTCTGTACATTTTGAAGGTTTTAAATCTCAAAGCTAAAGAGCTATTTTTTATTATAACAGGAAGGCAATTCACACAGGTTCTGAAGAGTGGATCACCAACAAATACACATTTCTGAATTAGTGGCACATGTATGGCTTCAGATTTTTACCCCTTAACACCAGTGCATGAGGAAGTGAAGTCGAAGTACTGACAACCTGAATGAAACACAAATTTGCAGAATAGATGTGAATACCTGGATCTCTGTTACATCTGTCAAGCCAGCCAGTTGTGTTTCTCATTGATGAAGTGAGCATTCACTTGGGCTGGAGGGAGGAGGGACAGGGTGAAAGAATGCCAAGCTTAACTTCAATGCCAGCTATGTTGCCTCAGGCAAGCTTAAAAATACAGCTGTGCTGACTCTGTCAACACACATTCTCTCATAGGTGATAAGTTATTTAATTCTAAGGTACCCAACAGTAGGCAAAAATGTACATATGTACAAAGTTCTTCTTTGTTTATAAATGCTGCCGATATATGTAGCTGCCCTGAAGAATTCCAGTACTTTGCTCTCATTTAAAAAACAGCAACTAGTATTGGAATTTACTGCATACTTAAAATATCATTACCCCGAAGATTTGAAGCTGCATTTCTATTTCTAGTCTATTTAAAAAAAAAATAAATCTATCCTTCTTTTTCATTTCCTGGTTATTTATAATAGAAAGTAGATAAATATTTATGGGAAAAGCACTTGTGGGGGAAGGGTCTAATCTGATCTTGTCAGGTTGTGCATGCTTATCTCAGTTTTGTTTAAGTCTTGACCAAATAGACCCTTTAGTCTTCCCACAGCTATAATCTACTTCTGGTTAAAAGCCATCTCCATTCACATCCTGCTCCTAATATTTAACTCAGGATCAGTTATAATGTGTTCATTCAGAAATGTTCCTTATGTATATAGGAAAAAAGGAAATTTTATATATCAACAAAAATATATGCAAAAAAGGTTTGTAAATACGTAGATAGAATGATACAGAGCCACAAAGAATTAAAGTACTACAACATACGTGTTCATGTGCACAGACTCAAAATTTGAGACAGAATGCTTTTAAAACACAGAAATTATGAAAGGTGAGGCCCAGTTGGTTGGGAGAGCTTTGATTATGTGGGGCTCGGTGTAACTGAACAGATCAGGACTCATTAGCCCATTTGCCCTCCTGGAATTTACTGTGACAATCCAAAGAGAGAAAAGAGTAGATTAATTTAATTTTTCCCCCTCAAATTGAAAGTATTCCAGATTTTAGAAGCCTAGGTAGCTTTGCACACTGGCACGCAGCAGGCATCCAGTAGTGGAAAGTGACAAAGGAGAGTTCTCACTCTCAGCTGCTGGCTGCCTGCTGGCTACCAGCGGCTTTTTCAACCCTGTTTCCGTGGAAACTTAGGTTAGAATGGTGAAAATTAGGTAAAGGTAAGTTTTGTGGGTTTAAAGCACGCGCTCTAATTCTTTAAGAATCCTGAAGCAGAACTGGAAATTGGTAGATGAACTGTGAGCCTTAAAAGGCCACCTTTGGTTCTCATTGCTACAGAAACAGAGATCTGATCAGTACCATTATAGGGATTTGAATTATGATTTTTTAAACTCATATATTTACTATACTTCACACATATAGTTCGGAAGGCAGCACAGGTGCCTCCTCCTGGAAAAAAAAACCTCTCTCATGTTACTGTCAGGTTCCCACTGAGCACCCAAAATACAGCATTTTCTGTGCATACCTAGTGTAGGCACAAAGGAGTTTGTGTGGGTAGGTAAAAGCTCAGAAACCATAATGTTGAGCAAAATATGGAACTGATGAGTTACCAGGAGCATGAGCTGTGGTGCAATGTGACTGTTATGTGTGCTGCTATGAGGACTGAGCTAAGGGCCCCACATCCAGCCATAAGCCAGTCTTCCTCCATTTTCCTGATCTAGTACCAGGGCTGCTCTTGGTCTCTAGCTTCAGTACAGTTGCATTCCTGAAGACATGATAATTTTGAAAAGGTCAACGATAAATTTACACACAAGATTTTAAAAATCAACTTTGACACAAATTTTCAAAAGGTACAGGAAAATCTTTATTCTTGTGGGGAAATAACCACATAAACTAAAGATATTTTTAAAAATATAACCAGCAACAGGATTCATCCTGATCTCACTCAGGATGTATGCATGCTGGTGGGAGAGATGCAACTACAGGCTGTATATGTTTATTCACACTATCTTTAGCCAAGTGCAAGTATGACTAGTAAGTGGAGCACGGCTAGGGTACATCAAGCACAATACTGGCTGCAACCTCTGAAACTGTTTCAGTAGCTAACTCTGGGCTACCATATCTACACCGCTGTCCATTTAATGTTTCCACAAATTTCCATGAGCTGCAATCAAACACCTGTACCTGCACCTGGAAAGCAGAGCTGCTCTTGCTTATCAGGGAATCAGAAACGATTCTGCTCAGTCAGCATTATTACATCATTAACACTGATGTCAGAATCAGCCTGATCCTGAAGCAGAATAAGCTATTTTGAATTCTAGTGCTAACGAAAGTAGTGAATCAGAGTCAGGACGTATATAACTACCATCAACTAGCTATATAAGTTCTTGTAGTCCAAACAAAATTCCTGAGTGTGAAGTACAGAAAAATCCACTGACATTGCAAAACAACTCGGAGAAAAGTGAAGATGTGCATGTGTGTAAATAAATGCATTTGTCTATATGCAGTAAGGGGGTGAGGAACAATAATTTTTTCAGGGATTACTGAGGACATGACTCTTGGACTTAGTGGTCAGACCTGAAAGAAATACTGAAGGCACCATGAAGTAAGGGCTGATTGCATTTCCATTTAAAGAAAAGCACTGCTAGGAAACCCAGAAAAGTGTTAGCAACAGAAATCTGAAAATCTCAGTCTTTATGAAGTTTCCTTTTAAAAAAATAGAAATAAGTGTAAAAATATCATACCACAAAAAGTCTTTTAAATCATCAGTATCATGTTGAGTGCCAACATGAAAAAAATGCAAGCCTTGTTAATATTTTCTTCTTGTTCCCTTTCCAGTGATGCTAAATTAGTGGATATAAACCACTTTTTTCTAAAGCCACTTTTCTTCCAGCAAAATGAGAAGTTTTAAAGCCATAATGCTTTTACATCTTTCTTTTGAGGGAAGATGCTACAGTACCAATAGCTGAAATTACTTTGTAAATTTGAAAAATGTACTTTGTATTTCTGTCCAAGCCACACCTTCAATGGCTTTAAAAAAAAAAAAAAAAAACGACAAACCAAAAAACCCAACAAAAACCACAACCAAAAACCAACCAAACAAAAAAACCCAACCCCAAAACCAACCAACCAACCAAATCCCACCAAAAAACAAACTCCACCAAAAACCAAAAAACCAAAACCAAACACAACTAAGGTTGTATAAAGCCCACTTGTCACATTATTTTGTGCTGGCTTATTGAACTCATGCAGGTTTAGTTTCTTACAACTGAAAACAGGCAACTCTTTTAGAAGAAAAGGGGTCTGAAACCCACTGTAAATACAAAACAGTTTGGGAGCTTTTTTGTCTACAAGAAGAACATTAAAAAATAAACTAGGATGTGAGGGAAAAACACTATTGCACTATCAGGTACTCCTTAGGTCAAAGCGATGGTGGCTGAAACTTGGTACCTGCTAATGGCTGCTTTATGGCCTGAATCAAATGAATGTGACCAGTTTTCAGAGGAAAAGCACCCACATCACAAACCTATTACTATAATTAGCAATCTTGAGGGCAGTCCTAACAAAAAGGACAAGGACTGAATGAGCTATGGAGAATGAACTATCCTCTCACATGCAGAGGTGGCTTTTCCAGGTCAGGGATAAAGTATACTATTGAAACAGTCTGAGAAAATATGTACTGATGCTTTAGTTTCCTCAGCTGTCAAACCTTATACCATCCTAAAGCAAGAAATTAATTTTAAAAAAAACCCCAAACAACACACGACACAAATAATCAAAGCATTTTTTCTCCCTACTCCCCCAATTTATCTTTTAGCAAGCAAGAAAATGTGATTAGGTCAAGATAAAAAAAGAACTGTAATGATAACGGAAAAAAAAGATCAGCTAAGAAAACAGAGACTTTAAGTACCACCAACGTACCCTCAAATATTCCTGTATTTAAAAAAAACAAACAAAACCCACCCAACAAAATAGCAAATGTTGCAGGGATAGTTACGGCAGCCAAGGCTGCACTTCCCCTGTATTCTAATTTATGGAGTATAGCCTGACAAATGTCAACACTCCTTTTCTTACACTGATAAAGTATCTCAGCAACCTACAGCAAAAGACCTGATTTTACCAGGATTTTATTTCTTATGCAAAATTCCTCATTACTATTATTATTCCACTTCTGTTATTCAGTGTTTGTCTTCCTAGTGTGTCTAGGCAGGTAACTTACATGAGAAAAAACAGGTTAAGTCTCTGATTGTTAAAACCTGAAACACTTCCAAGTCCCTCTGAGATGTTCTTGTGATGAATGGCATAGGCTAGAGTAGCTCTCAAGTTAGCAGAAAAGTAGTTGTGCAGAAAAAGACAACAGATCAAAATTAGAAGAAAGGACGAAAGACACAAAAGCCTTACTTGCTTCAAAATGTATCAGTAGTCTTAATAAAGATTTAAAAAAATGTTCCACTTAGCAGATGAACAGCTACCAAGAACCACTATCTACCCACCTCTTCTTTTCATATTTTAATTTAGGCTTCAGTCTCTGAAAAGCATTATTATTGGTAAGTACACAGGTTCATGTAAAAGATTCTCTCTGGGGGTTTATATGACTTTATATATGACATTAGTC